GTATTCGAAGAAACTGAGTTTTATACGGCAACCTTTCTTTCCGGGGGCGAGTTTCCTTTCCCCTCTTTCTGCTCCGCCCTGCCATTTCGACAGACTAAACAGCCAAGCTCGGCTTTGGGGTCGCTAATTTTCTGCTTTCAGGCAAACTAACACCGTTACAGATGCATCCCAGCTGCCGGCACAGCAATCCTTCTCGGCTCGTGTAAAATTTCCAACTCAAACCTCGAGTAACTTCACACACTTTGGTGACAAAAGCCTTCCAGAAAAGCAATCACAGCAGGGTCTTTGGAACTTTGGTGGGTAGAAGGAGAGAAGGGAAGGCTGCCATTTATGTAAGAATGAATCTATTAATCTGCTTTTGCCAATGCTCCTCCACCTTTAACCCACTTGCAGATCTCTTGGGGTGGGGATGGGAGGGGACGGTGCTGTTTATGTACAGGAAAAACCATTACTTAAGGTCTAGGTACATAGACTTAAGTAGTCCGGAGGTTTGGACCAGGGCTTGTGGCCCGATTAAAACAGGAGGGAGTGTTCTCATCACCATCTTCAGTCATCCAGCCCAGTAAGTGGTGTGGCTCGGTGGTGGTGGTGGTGGGGGGGGTGCTTCCTTCTATTACTTATTTCTAAAATTATTTTCCTCAAGCAACGCTGGCTGGCTGATCCCAAGTCTGCAGGGATCAGAGAAGTTCTAACTTTTTCAGGATGAGATCCGCTCTCTAAAGTGAAGGTTCGGAAAAACAGGGGTGGTAGAGTGTCAGTCATTAAGGTTAGCTGCTAGGTGCAGGGCTCTGCCCCCTTTCCCACCTTCATTCATCCCTAAGACAAAGACACCACCACAGCCCCTACCCCCTTGAAAATCAAGCTCCCTTTCACACCAATGGGCTGCTTAATTGTCTGGCCAGTGGGAAATCCATCTGCACCTTATTTAGGACTATTAACAAGTGGATGCCTTTGAAATGAATAGGGTACTAAGGGCTATACTAGATAAAAGAGTCAAGTTCCTAAAGGACCCAGGTGTAATGGAAGACTCCATCCACACCGGTGGAAACTTTGGAATGCATACACATTGCTACCTCTGAAATACAATAGTGGGGAGATAATCTCACCCAGGAATTCTCAGCCAAGTCACACAGGTTCTGGTCAGCACCAATACCCCCACTTTCTCTGACTATGCAGTACACACGACAGGCGCAGATTTATGATTTGGGCACAAATCAACTTGCCCCTCAAAGTTTAAGGGGAAGATACGTTATACTCGCCTTTCAGCTGATTTCTTTACACCAGCCACCTCATGAGCTCTGTACCCGATCCCTCAGTGCGGGATATTTGTAGTAAACAATGAGTAAGACTTTTCTCTTTGCCAAGCACTGTTCTCAACTCCTTCCTTGTGTTCATTCATTTACTGCTCTCGACGACTCTGTGGGAACTATTTATTATATCCATTTTTAAAAGACGGTAACCGAAGCTCAAGGGGTAGGTAATTCGCCCCAGGTCACACAGGATTGGAACTGGGCATCCTGTCCCTTAGAGCTTGCGCTCCTAGAGGTGAATTTTTTCTTCTTGGTCAATTCGGGCTCAGCGCTTAGCGCTGCGGAGCGGACACTCGCCAAAGCCGGGTGCCCGACGCCTTTCCCTGCGCCCGGGCCTGGAAGATGCTGTCACTCAGGAGGCTCTGTCAGTAACGGTAGTTCTCAGAGGTTAGGGCTGTCTTTGGTAAGGTGATCTCAAAACAAATTTACCAGAGTGCCGCGGTCGAGTGGAACGAAAGAAGCCGCGAAAACACAAGCGCCCGGCGGCTTAATGGGACTTGCTGGCGGGGGGAAACAAGGTCCGGGGTTGAGGACCCTTGGGACTCAAGCGCTGAAAATAGGATCGCAAAACACCAAAGTAAAAAACGAGACAAAACTTTTAAACCGCTGTCAGTGGCGAGAAGGGGGAGAGAGAGAGAGAAAAACGGGGCGGGGGGAGGGGAACAAAACCAAACAAATACACAAAAAAGGGGAGACAGGATACAAAGAGAAAAGGAAGCAGTGCCTCAAAGATGGCTGGGGTCCCCCAGTTCAGGAGAGATTCTGCTGCTCTTTTCCGAGGGGAAACTGTGTAAGAGAAGAGGAGAAACTGGGTGAGCGATACAGACAAAAATAAATTTTTTTTTTGAGTGGGGAAATTGAACAAAGCAGTATGAAAAAAGTTGAAAATCATAAAAAAAGAGAGAGAGATCTACTGATTATTTGGGTGCTCTTACTTAAAATCAGACTCGACTGACTTTTGTTCCTCATAGAAAAGAATAAAAATACAGTAAATGTTCCACTCTTTCTTCAGAGAAGTGGATTTCTCACGTGGAGAGGAAACTCCCACATATTTAATATGCAACCACGTTGGTAGAAATGACATTCCAACATTAACTACTAGGAAAGCCTTACAGTAGGCAGATGAAGGGAAGACAATTAAGCCATTCATGGTGTTATAAATGAACGCCACCCAAGGTTCTCGTGAAGTATATAGATAATTAAAAATTTTTTTCCCTTAACATTCTGAAGGAAAATAAATGCGTGTCTGATTTTCTTACAGTTTAGACTCAGCAGGTTTTAGCTGCATAGACCTTTAAGTAATCACCAACCTTTTTTTTTTTTTTTGAGAATCTATCTTAGTTTAAGTATTATGGCAACAATCCTAGTGTTGATGGACAGAGCCCACCAGCGAAATGATGGTCAGAGCTTCCTTTTCTAGTAAATTTTGCCTACCCTAGGAATTCTGCATTATTCCAAATTTTCTATGCTTCTCTCAGTGGGAGAGACCAAATATACATAGAAAGATGAGTCCATTTCAATCACTTCTGCCTCTCTCTGAGACCCTTATCAACTCCTGGACAAAGGGAGCTGTTCTAGAGATTTTGGCTTATCATATATGACTTCACAATGTGCTAAACAATTTCAAACTGCTATTAGCTCTGGGAACCAGGCACACCTAAGTAAACACATTAGTACCTGTCAAAGCTGCTGGAAGAATTTGCGGAGAAGACAGCTGAGGAAGACATTGGCCTCTGCTTGCGTTCGAAGGCTCCCAGGGGAGATCAAAGGCCTATGGAGGGATTTTGAGCAGCCTTGAGAGTAGAGAAAGGAGCCAGTTCTTGCAGCATTATCTTTGTTTCAGCACATGGCATAGCCATTCTGAACTGAGAAGCCAAGCTGACTCTGAACTCGGCTTGCAAAAAATTTCTGTTTCAGAATGAAACCTCTAGGACTGAGGGTCATCTTTTGTAACCCTGCTTTTGAGAGTAAGGGAGTGACTGGAGGGGTCTGTTGGAGAAATGTCTTGATGGCTTGGCTCTTTGAGGAAGTACCATGTTATTGCTAATTTACTAATTCATTAGATTGGAAATGAGATATTCAAAGTTTAAACTTAAATATTTTTAAAACATTTTTTTCTAGGTAGGGTGCTCTGGGAGGAGAATTTTGAGACAAATAAATGATATAAAACATTGCTTACTAAGAGAAAAGCACCAACGGCTATATTCTAACTTTGTGTCAAAAATGTCTTAGTAAGGATAGAGTTCAGTTTAGCAGCCCAAGACTTCTCTGGCAGTCTCAACAGTAGTTGAGAACACAATTTCAGCACCATGTTCCCATCCCCCGTATATACATATATGCCCATTAGACATAAGTGAATTTCCATTATGTTCAGGGTCAGAATTCAATGATTCAGGTGTGATGATTAAAGTTAGTTTGAAAAAGCTGGCATTTGACATTTCATAAATTATTTGTATAGTAATATAAAAAAGGAAAATAACTTATTTTTTAAATATTTGATAACTTTATGCCTACCTCTGGAAAGAGGCTCAGTTTAAATCCCAAATTGCTTATCTTTACCAAGTTATTATATCTTGATTTTCTGCTTGCATGGCCCTGTTTGTTTTGGCTTTGGCCTTAGTAAAGATTATCATCATTAATATCAAATAAAAACATTTTAATTGCAAACACACCAAGGATTTCACTGGAGAGTCTAATATGTCAACTATAGCAGTGGAGGTCACATGAAGTCTTTGGGAAATATTTTCTCTATTTAACAAAGAGACCTCTATAGGCAAACTTATTCCAAACAATTTCTCAAGTTACCTAGCTAGGAGAGAGAGAGAAGATTTGGTTTGCAAAGACTGAATAAAATCCATCAAGCAAATAAAGTCCATGAATTGATAAAAAGCATTCTGCTGCTAAATAGTTTATAACATAGATCTCATTATAAATATATATGCAATCATAAAGTAAGTGAATTCACCTGGTTAATTATGAGATTTGATTTCAGTTGTGGCATGAATCTGCGACACACACACACACACATATATATACCTATATTTTATTATATATATTATATATATAATATGTAATGTGTATACATATAGAATATATATGTATAGACAAACATTTTAGGGAAAATATTGATTCTCAAGAAAAAATCATAGATACATAATAAGCATGATGAATGGATATACACACCACCCAGACATATTCATATTCATATACATGTTCTGACTGGATAATTTGAAATGCTCTACAGTTTTTCTTTAATTAAGTTACTGCCCTAATCTGGAGTTCGCTAGCTAATCACTCTTGAGAAAGAACATTTGAAAAATAATTGCTAAAGAGAGCCCAACTGTTCTAGACCATAAATGTTCTTTCTTATTTGCCAAGGCTTCTCTTTTAGGGTGCAGGTGATTGAGCCAACAGGCTTGAAGCCGCTGGTATTTACTGGCTCCAAGCCCTGGACCTATGCTTACAAATGCAAGAAACTCTTCGTACCAAAGAAACTTTTCTCAAAAGAAGTAACAAGTTTCCCTCAACACCAGTAGTTGTAGGATTCTGAGTGCATATGTAAAATGCTAAGAATGAGTCATTCATATTGCTACTGATTTCATTGTTATCAATACTTTTCCCAAGTAGCGCCTGCAACGCAGGCAGCCAACAGTATTTGAAGGAACTGTGGCTTTGGGTGGAAGAGAAGCATTTGATGGTCAATGTAGATTTATTAATGAAAAATACAGAGAGCCCACATTGAGTATTTGTTCGGTGCTCTGCTCTGGCTAAAGCTTTTATGTGTTTTATCTCACCGAAATCTTCACACCCCCGAGTTAAGCACCGTTATTGTCCTCACCATTATTTTATAAATGAGGAAACGGGAAGAAGGGAGGAGCTGGGATAGCCCAAGGCTACACAGGAGCAACCCGGGTTCAATCTAAGTAGGCAGCGCCCACATCAACTCAGCAGTTTGCAGCCATAACACTCCCACCTGCTTTTCTCAAACCTCTGGGAGAGATTGTATGTCAATGTCAGTTTTCTCTGTGAACCTTTCTGCACTTTATAAGCATTCTAGGAGAAACGAGCATTATCCAGGTGCTCAGAAGACAGAGTAACTATCACCCCCAGAAAGAGGCCCTTGGAGATAGAAAAGGGGCACGATACTGCTCCGTGCCTGCAGGGGGCGCTGTCTGCGGTGGTATCTGGAACTTCTGTGGTGTGCAAAAGGAACGTCCAGACTGGAGTGTTAGGAAGCAAGGTTGGGCTGGGAAATATTGGATTCGGTTTGATTTTCACATTTGTAAACTGAGGACCAGCTGTGGGGAAAAGGAAGGAAGAAGTCAAGGGTGGGGAGGGGTGTTGGGAGTGAAGGTGCCATTTACAGAATGCAAGTGAGAAACAGCGATTCCAGAGAAATGGCTGGCCCTCTCCTCCGCTTCACTTCCCACTGTGATTCTTGGTGGTCGTTTCTTCCTGAAGTTACAGGATAAACAAACCTGGCACACGTTGTAAAATCCTGGCCGTGAGGAGCTCCTGGGGCTTCAAGCCTCTCTGGGGGCTTTGCTATTTGGTCCAGCTAAGAGGTTTCATGTGCGTTGTTGTTGTCTTTTGCCCTCAGCCATTTAACCCTTCCCTCTCTTGAAGCTTTCCCCCACCTCAAGAAACAGATTGTTCCCTTCTTTTATCTTTCTATTTGCAAAACAAACCCCAGCCACACGAGGCCTGGATGGTATTCCAGTCTTCTAACCAGTCTAGTTCAAGAAAACTAGGGAGGGGCCAGCGACCTGGCTGGGAGGCCAGTGCAGCCCCTGGGTCCTCCAGAGGAAGGCTTCTTGGTGAAGGGCCGGGCCTGGAAAGTCAGAGGCAAAGTAATTTGGGGTAAATTAGCTGAAGAGCTTTTTAGGCAAATCCAAGTTTTTGTGTGGCTATCTCTTGCAACAATGAGATTTTACTGGGTTGAAAATTCAGTTGTTAACTCTGGGTAAGTAAATCTCACCCAGAGCTCCAGGTATAGGACAGTTGAAAACATAAAAAAGATGGTGATAAAGGAGAAGAGGGCAGATTCCTCCTGGATATTCTTCACTTTTAACCACAAGTGTGAGGTCTGTATGAGATAGAAAAGTGAACAGTTTAATTCAGACACAGGAAAATAACCCATTTTCTTCCCTTTCAGTCAGCCTTTAAGAACACACCCAAACAAATGGGCTTGTGTGGCGTCTAAGTTAAAATACGGCTCCTCTTTATTTATGTGCACCTGCTCCCAAACATTTTTTTTTTCAGTTGAATCAAATTGGGACCAATTTGGTTCATAAAGAAACTTATTTTTTTTTTGATATTACAATATCAGGATCCTCGCACATTTTATATGCAATCCATCACTCCACATTTAAAATATATTTCTTGGGTTTACATAAAAAATGAAAGTACTAAGAATATTTACAAAAATACATTCAATACCACTAACATTTCGATGCAACGTTCCCACTTCGCTTCGGACAGGAATGAACTTCTTTTGAACATGGCACAAAAGGATCACCGGAATAAAGGTAAGAGGTTACACAACTAGCCACACAAATACAAAGTCAGGCTGCTAGAGCTAAGCCACTCGCGGTTCCAAAAGTAAAAGCCCAAAGCCTAAAGGCTTTTTCATCTGAGCGTGCGCAACAGTTTCTGAGACGTTTCCTTGTGAACAGGTCTCCTTCCCTTTCATAAACTCCTGGGCCTGGGTTCCTAAATATTAATGTAATGTGACCCAAGCTACAGGATTAGGAGAAGGAGGGGGGGGGTCCTCCCGCGGCGCGGAGAACATCCCAAGCTCCGGCTGCGAGTTACTTCTCCACCACCTCTTCCCCGCAGGGCAGTTTGCGTTCCTCGGAGGAAATACTGTCCACGATGGAAGAAAGGCATTGAAGGCTACTCGAGGCTGACGAATCGATGCTCGCCCCTCCTGAGCGCAGAAAAAGAAAAACACACAAGTGTAGCACCCCCGAGGAAGGAAGAACGAGGCAGAGCGGGCCCCGCGCCAGGCCGCTTAGGCAGCGCGGGAGGACCCCTGTCCCCGCGCGCTCGTCCCCGCCGTCGCTCCGAGCCCTTTCTACCCTTTCACCCCAGGCCCCTTCCCGGGATATTCTCCAGCACAGCCCGGTGCCCTTTCTTTTACTTTACCTTCCTTGGCAGTTATCACGAGCCCCCTGGAATGATCCGAAACGCTTGGCCACTGGGAGCTGCAGGTGCGCAGGAAATCCGCACCCTCAAGCTGGAGAAAAACCGAGGCCGCAGAAGATTAGGAAAGAAACATCGGTTCCGGGCAGGGAGTGGGGAGGCTCTGTGGAGGTGTCTCCCCTACTTCCTCAGGCCGGGGACGAATTTCCTGCCTACTGCAGGCACCCCGAGTTCACGGGTCACTGGGGGTTCACTGGAGAGGGGGCGGGAGGGGCGGGCGAGGAAGGGGAAGGGGAAGGGAGACGGAGCAGCTGGAGGTTAAGGCCCCAAGGAAAGCGTCTAATCAGCCCGAGCATTCCCCTGCCCCTGCAGCATCTGGGCTTACATTCTCTTGCTTAGGTCTGTAGCTGAAGGGGTCCACCCCTAGCTCCTGCATTTTTTCCTGCTGATCCAGCTGATGGAGCAGGTCCTGCAGCCGCTCAATGTAGCTGATGGCGCTCCGCAGAATCTCCACCTTGGGCAGCCTCTGGTTGGGGTTGGCCACAGTCCGCCGCTTCAGTGCCTCGAAGGCCTCGTTGATTTTCTTTAGGCGCCTCCGCTCGCGCAGAGTGGCAGCTTTCCGCCGGTCAGTGGGGGCAGATTTTCTCTTGCAGGTCTTGCAAGCCCAGATCAGACATTGGCCGGGGCAGTGGGGGGGCTGCAGGCCTGGGGGCGCCAGGACGTGCTCCTCTCCGCTGCTGTCGCTGCCAGCTTCCGGGGGCATTTGGTCCTGGCAGGGGGACAAGGTACCATCACTCCCTGGGTACAAAGGAGAGCCCTCTGCCACTTCTAATGGCTGCAGAGTAACATTTTCCCCGTCCAAGTAGAAGAAATAGGAGCCAGTTTCAAAAAGGTCCATCATCATGTTCTCCTCCTTGGACTCTGACTTGGTCTGAACTGGGTGATGGGCTCAAAAACCCAGAGGAACCACCCAGATGGCATTTAATTAGTGCGGTGACATAAGTCGCCCCAGCTTTATATATAGTAGCTCCTGAAACTCAATCCAACTTTTAGCTGTCATGGAGCATCAGTCTCCCAATGTGATCACAGACAGTGCTCTCCAGAATAGCTAGTTTGAAAGAAAACTGAGAAGTGTCACCTCCAGGACAATGGGACAATCTGTATGCAGAACAGGTTAAAACAAATAACTCTGAGAGAATCCTACAATATAAATAAAGCACCGAATGCTTCCATTTATGACAGTTTAAATGCTAACCTGTTTACCGGACAACGTCAAAACAACTGGGGATTTACACTGCTCCATTCCCCTCCCCCAGGCTCATCTGAATTCTAAGTATAGACCCATGATGAAAGATTTCAGAGGCAATAGCCATTGCTCCAAAATAGCCTGGTTAATATTTGCAGAGTGGTTCAGCTCTTTTCTCTGTCCCGCCTGTCAAAAAGATGCTATTCCTGTGATTAAAACCATTACAGTCCTTCAAAGGTTATACATGACTTTCAGGCTTCAGCCTCAATAGCAGCAGGTAAATCTCTTTCCTCTCTTTTACTAAGGCTGTAAGATGATTTGGGAGCTGGAGGGGTGGCTGGAGGGCGCTCAGATTCCTTCCTTGGCTATCTTTTTTTTGGGGAGGTGGCAATCAAGATCTGAATTCTGTACCCCTCCATGGTGGAGCAGTCATACCAATGAGGTAAGGGGTGGGGCAGAGCATGGGGTTGCAATACATGGAATCACTTCTCTTTAAAAACAGTTTTAGTGGAAACAAGACTCACACTGTAGCTACTTGATATTTCAAAATTCTCTGCACACACCCCCCAAGGTCCCTCCGTTTTGGCTCCTACTCTGCACAGTGTGCTCATGGCTTGTTTGTTCGCATTCTTGATATACATTGACTCCAAAAAAAACTTGTTTCATAGGATTCAGGTGAGAAAGGAGGCAACCAAGGCATAAGCAAGGAATACAAATTTTAATTGCCGCCCGCCATCGTCCAACACACAGCATGGTGGTCAGGAATGCAGTACAATATAACCATGAAGGACAGCGTCTCTAGATTCGAAAGAACTCCCTTCAAGTCCTAGCTAAGTTAATTTCTATTTATGTGTACATAGACAAGCACTAGCTCTGGATTGTTCCAAGGTACAAGCGGTTGTCTTATAGAATTTTATCGAGGGTTGACTCAAATGGTGTCATGCATGTAAAGCACGTAGCCTTATATCAGCTGCTTGATGAACATTAGTTAGCACTTAAAGCATAAGGCTATGTATAGGGCTAAGACCATTTCGTATGAAGGAAATAAAGCATCGCTGTTGGAGAAGGGTTTTTTTCCCCCCTCTTTTATTATTGCATTCTTTTCTTTTTCCTTTCTCTTTTCTTTCCTTTCCTTTTCCCTCCCAGAGCTCTGGAAGGACACCCTTCACTTATAAATGGCCTTTGTGATGACAGTCAACCTTGGTTTTGGCCTCTATAGTCAGTGCCTGAAAAAGTAGATGGAAACATAAGGTCTTCCTATTCTACCCCCAAGTAGGGATAATTATAGGCTGTGTTCACTATGATTTCATTTTTTAGATGAATACAGTGAAGACAGTATAAGGGACCAATGGTCAATGTAGGAACTAGCTACATTTTTGAGTCAAGTCACTCATTCCAGAAGATATTCTTCATAGCCTTTTCTTACTGAGACAAGGTTTTGGGTGTTATGTTCTGACATTTTGGGCTGTTTTTATGTTTTTGTTATTGTGCAGCTGAATAATTTCCTATCAAGTTTGAGAACCATTTTTATGTTTTTGGAAAAGTAGGAAACACAGGGAAGAATAATACAAAGCCATTACCTCTTTTGTGACATTTTCTCCTATTTTTGTCAGGGCTGGTTGCTAATATCAGCAGTTAAGACAGCAGATTGGAGGCCCCAACAACTCAGGGTATACTCTAACATCCATTATGGAAAATTATCCTTTGCTCTTAACCACACTGCATGATGCATCTTATAATGTGTAGACAATTTGAAAAGTCATTTTTAACCAGTAAAAGTATATCACATTATTGCTAAGGTAATTAAGATAACAATAACTGAAATTTTTTTATTCATGATTTTGGGGGTACCTACTAAGTGCCTTATCCTTGGGGATAAAGATAAAACAGTAAAAAATGATCCTTTTTCTCATGGAGTTTGAATCTAGAAGGGTGAGTGAAAACGAAGAGATTAAAAATGTGAGAAATAGCCCTCAATTTGGGATATGGAAGGCTTAGGTTACAGTCATTTTAGCTTGTGAAGACTCCATCAACTCTAATATCTCAAATTCTCACTTTTTTTATCCTTATGATAGAGTGACAAAAGATGTCATACACTCAAAGGTAGTGATGAAGATTAATTTTTTAAAATTGTGTAATCACTTCAGAAATGTTGCATATTCTATAAAAGTACTTTCACTAATGAAATTAGGTGTAGGCAAAAAATTAGATAAAAAGAATAGTACTTCTAAGGAATTTTGTTGCTTGAATAATAGAAGTAACATTAAGGTGGTACCATTCTTAGACTCATTATTGATTTTAAGAGGTATCAGATAGATGCTGGAGAGTCTACACATCATGAGCCTGCTAAAGAATGTGAAAATGAGCACATTCCTTTTTATTTTTCCCTCATTCAAGTGTTGTCACTGGAGAAACAGCGAGTTAAAAGTGTAGAAAGAAAAGATTCTAGAAAGTAGAAAAAGCTTTGAGGTACTGATCAATATTAACCTCCCAGACAGGGGTGGCATTTCTTTGTGTGAATTTAAACTTTACTACAGAATTGTTGTTCCTTATTAAATTATAAAACCCCTTTCCCAACATTCTCTAGAACTCAGGCCAATAAAATTTAGTGTTGTTCACCTTGGTTGAAATATACTTTCCCTTCTTTCGTTGTTGTTTTGGGGCCTGGGGGTGCAGGTGGGAGGAGAGGAAAAGGAAATGCCAGCTTGGGAAATAACCACCCATTACTAGATTAGGTAATGGGAAAATACGCAGTGATTCCAAACAACTAACTGGTGAACTCTTGGAACTCAGACTGTTTACAGAATATGAGATGCCTGTAATTGCATTATTTCTCAGCAGAACTTGGGAGACACAGACCTCGACAAGTGGTCCAAACAGGTTTGTGTAAACCGAAATCCTCCAAACTTTAAATAGTGCAAGTGCATTTTTAAAAATTATGGATGAATTATTAGCAATGAGAGAATAATAATATTAAGGATCAATTATTCACTTCAGGGGCCTAGAGTTCATTCATAACAAAATCTGAAACTAGGTTAGAGATAAAATTGAGAGTTTTCAAACAGTTTACCGCCTTGTTATTCTTACTTCATGCTTAGTTATTTGCAAATGCATTTTCTTCCCATCATCTCCACAAAAGCTTGACTATATCCAGTTCTTCTCTGTGAAAAGGAGTGGGAGGGAAAGGATTATCGCTACTCAGTCAATGGTGGTTTGCAGCTATGAGCCTTTGGGAAGGTGATGTAAGCAGTAGAAAAACAACTTTGGTGTGAGACAGAATCCAAGTTCTAGCCATTCTTTTTAAATCTTTTTTTGTTTGTTTAAGATTTTATTTATTTATTTGAGAGAGAGAGCACGAGCTGGGGATGGGGCGGGTAGCGGCAGAGGGTGAGGGAGAAGCAGACTCCCCACTGAGCAGGGCTCCATCCCAGGACCCTGGTATCAGAACCTGAGCCGAAGGCAGGTGACTTCTGACTGAGCTACCCAGGCGCCCCTCTAGCCATTCTTAATTATATATTCTGAGCCTCAGTTTTATAAGAGATCAACTGGCATATGTAACACATCCATCACGGGCATGTCCTTCGCCTAAAATGAAATAATTAATTGTTGAGTCCATGATAAGGAATACGCACTCAACAAATGTTATTTTCCCCCCTTCCCCTACTCAGTTCATAAGGCCTCTGATTGAAATCACTGGAGTGAATTAATGGAAATACCTAGATTTGGTGAGACAGATATTTAAGAGGAATTTAAGGATCGATTGATGTTAATGGTATAGTGGAAGTGAAAATATTGAACCTAGTGACTCCAGTAACAATGTTTCATGTATTTATGCCCTCCACAAATCTCCAGTTTCCTGGGGGACAGATGCTAATTTAAAAAAATCACACAAATGAGTAACGGAACTAGGAACCTTGGAGGAAAGAGTGTGGTTCGAAGCTAGCATATAATGACCAGTCTATCATGAACTGGAAGCTTGAGAAAGGGTGGTTTGGGGATGGAAGTCCCTGAATGTGGGGTTGGTATTTCCAGGGAGCATGCTGAAGATTTTTAGCAAACCTGTGGGTTGGGATGCTGGTCACAGGAGGAGGAAGTTCAAGGAAGAAACGGTCACAGGTGTCAGTTTGTCAGAAACTGGTGATTTGTGTGGGTCATATCTAAGGAATTTGGCTATATTGTTGCATAGCTGGGTTCAAAGAAAGCCGTTTCAGTTATAGCTGAGAAAGTAGGACTGAGAGCCAGACAGAAGCAGCCGTGAAAAGAGAAAGAAGAGAGAAAAAATGACAGAAGAAAGGGGGGCGGGAAAGGAGAGACACAGGATGAACGGAACTTGGTCCAGCCTGCCTGTGGAAGAAGAGTCAACTAGCAAGGCCCCTGAGAGGCCTAGAGAATAGAGCCAAGAGAATAGAGCGCGAAGGAAAGGTCCGCTGACCAAAAGGGAAAATTCAGAAGAGGCAGATTAATGCTTTAAACTTGTGGTAGCTCGATGAGTAACATAAGCCCCAGCACCTGTAATTTACCTAATCTGCAGACAGTTTGTGCCCAGAGATTCCCCAACACTGTGGTAAAAATAGTTTTGCACTTAGACTGACAGAACATTCGAGTCACTTGAGAGAACGCGGGGGAGGGGCACGGACCACGCAGAGGAACAGGGAGGATTTTAAAGGCAGGTCCTGCGCAGTCTCCAGAGGGAGCGGCAGTGAGAGGCGATGCAGGGAAATGAGGCGGGATCTGGGCTGGGGAGGATCTGG